ACGGTGCGAGTGTTAAAGCATATGACCGCTCCAGGCGGCCTTTGGCCCCCTGTCGGGGAAGCAAGGTTAAGCTTTTTATGTTATAAATTCAGTTTATCAACGACGCTCCTTGAATCATCTCGACATGACTACCACAAAATTAGCTGGACTGATTTAAAACCTAAGCAGTAAAATATTTACTTATCTGTGATATTAAACTCATTCCTCGGTGGTTGAGCAGTAAGAGTGGTCGCTTATGACGCTAAAAATCGGATTTCGATACTCGCGATAAGCACAGTACAGATAGCCCACTGTGTAGCTTTGCTCTTAGCCACACACACAACACATCTATAGACAATATCCTACTCCAATTAACGTTTTTTGTTCTATATTACATACACGCATGTACACATTATAACTTGGGGCCGGTTGTGGCCTATAGTGCTTAGCGTATTGCACCAGTTACCCGAGAATCTCGAGTTCGATACCTAGTGCAAGCTACCAAACACTTTGCACTTTCAACTTATAACACGATATGGTTAAGAGTACAGCTGCTTCTGGCGATATGTGCTGCCGACTGATTGCCTCCCCCCTCTGGTCAGTAGCTCAGAACCGTTGAGGTCTATGATCTGGCCATTCAACCCATTGTGTGTATAAAGTTAATGGGGTAAATATTAGATCTTCTAAGCCTAAAAGATAATGACAGAGTTTAGCACAGGACAATTCTTATTGTCGAAAGATTAACTTTTACTCAGTAGTAAAATAGAACGTGTATAAATAGTAGTCTTTTTTTTTAAGATAACTGTATGAAAAGTCTTGGTGTTCATGAGTTGAGAAACGCGTGTCAAGAAAAATGTGTCCCCCCGTGCAGGTAAGTTTATAGTGTTGTAAATAATTTTACAAACAGTTAACATTTAAAAAAGATTTTGTTGTTGTTCGAGGTGAATTTGGTAAAAAAAAAAAATAGTAGTTATATAATTGTGCAGAAACGTAACAAATTCACATATTATTATTATTAAGCACAACGACATTAGCTTCTAAAGATATATTTGCTTGTTTGAAATGTTCCGGTTTGAGATATTGTAAATTATAATGATGTATTTCTCCAAATTTATTGTAATAATGGATGACAAATAATATATAACGCGTTATGAAGAATTTATCTTTCATCTAAGACAGGCATGCCCAACCTGGGGTACATTTGCACATCTCAGGGGGTACATAGGGGTCTCAGAGTATAACCACGGTTTACACTTTACATGGTGTTTT